TGTAAATATCTCTGACTTCACCAACCGCCTTACCCAGCAGATGCTTCAGCTTCGACCAGTAGCCCCTCGCCAATCACTTCAGAAAGCCCAAGTTAACAAGAGTCTACTCACTTGCAAATTTGTATTTGTTAGCGTCGATGCCATTAGAAAAGGTTTACAACATCCATATGAAGGTCCTTTTCTAGTACTTAAACGCACCGATAAATACTTCACGCTGAACAAACATGGTAAACCGGAGACTGTTTCTATTGATCGTCTTAAACCAGCGTACACCGACAGCGAATATGAAACACTAGCAACGCCTGCACCAACAAACAATGAGAAAGTCAATGCAACTCCAACTCTCCCACTCTTCACACTCCCCCCTGTACAGACACGCAGTGAACGGCAGATCTGTAAACCTGCCCGCTATGTTCATTTCACTGACTGACATAAAAAATGTACGTTAACCTCATTTAGACATTCTTCTCATTACTATTGTTGTCTAGATTCATTCCATTATAACCATTAATGTTTATTAGTATTATTATTTGCTGTTCGTCAACTCTACTGAAAGCACACGCATTCACCAAGTATGTGTATATATCTATTTATACATGAATTTCGCAAATGCTAACGAACATGTCATGGTTTATTATGTACATAAATTTTTCATTTAAAATTATAACAAGTTTTGATTTTTTTTTTAAATTCCTGAATCTTGCTTCCATGTGCTAAATTTTATACGACACGGATGCATTCCATACATCCTGATCTAAATTTGTATCCTTATTATTGTTGCTGTTATTTTCTGTTATCCTTATTGCTGTCATTATCCATTATTTATATTGCTTATATTCATGTAATCGTCCACGAGGACAGAACTGATGGTCCTCCGGACCTCTAAGAGGGGGAGCCGTGTGGAGTCCTCAAAAATAAACTTGTCCAATTTTTACTACTATGTAAGAAATGAACATATTGTACATTGCTTTGTTTTAAGCATAAACTCTGTACTTTGAACTTTACTTCAGGTTTTGAATAAATGTATAGTTCTGCCTCCGACTCTCCGTCTTCTCCACCATCCCAACTGCCATCGATCAATTCTAAGCACCTGTTTTCTATCTCAAATTTTCGCAGGAACACCGTAGTTTCTTCCTGCGTACTTTGGTCGACCTCCGGCAACGTCAACATTGGAGAATTGGTACTGGAGCAGTCTTCCCGCAGCGCCTCTGGAGTCTATTACGTTTATTGTGGCTTTTGGATCTTTGTAAACCCAAGTAACGAAACTTTAATATATTCTTCCAGTAACTAAACTGATTTGGTATTTTATTTTCTATTTGAATTCGGGATACTACGCTAACAGAGTAGAAGGTCCTCCACAATAATTGGTGAGCCCGTTTTCGAACCTCTTTTTTTCAATAGTTAACTCGTTTTGAACATTTTTGTTGCTATTTTGGTCTTATAAACTCGCGTTGCTTTAATTTTTGTTACCACAAGTTTTGCTATTTCGTGTATCTCTATGCTTAAATATTTTTTGACAATGGCTCCACCTAAACGTACCACTGTTGCTGAAGAAGGTAATAAAGGCGAGGAGACACAGAACTCTGCTGTTAACGTCTTGCCGGATTTAAGACTACCTCATTTTGATCTGGCTGAACCACGTGTCTGGTTCACAATCATTGAACAGTTGTTTGCAGCTCGAGGTATTACGTCGCAGACTGCCATGTATGGTTGCGTATCAGCAGCAATACCCACGGAAGTACTACGAGAGGTTATCGATGTCATAGACAGCAAGCCTACAGACTCTCAATATGACAAACTAAAAGCTGCACTCATCCAGCGGACCACCCTCTCCGATGAGAAACGTATACAACAACTACTTACTTCGTGTGATCTAGGTACAAAAAGCCATCCCAACTACTTAGACATATGCGTCAGTTGATTGGATCACACAAAGTAGATGAGTTAATTATACGTCAGATGTTCTTACAACGTTTACCACAAAACGTTCAACAAATCCTGGCAGTATCTTCTAGGACGACAGACCTTGAAGAATTAGCTAAGATGGCAGACGATGTCATGGATGTGTTATCAAATAATGGCATAAATAGCGTGTCTACGGAGGTAGTACCATCAAGCCCTTCCACATCTATGAAGGACGCACCAATGTTTTGGTTACTTTCTCAGTTAACATCTCAAATGCAAGACTTACGACTGGAAGTGTCTGAGCTTCGAGCACAACGGAACCAGTCACATACGGTATCCAAGCTACGGCGATCAAGATCTAGACAACGTTCTAGAACACCGTCTCAAAGCCGTAACATTTGTTGGTATCATAGGAGGTGTGGGCATAATGCCCTGAAGTGTGTTCGACCATGCATGTACGACAGTGGTAACTCAACTCAGGGAAACTCCCCAGCCAGACAGTAATGGCGACGGCTGTTACTGGCAATCACCCCAGTCGCCTTTTCTATGTGAGGGATTTGACCACCGGCACATTATTCCTGATAGATACGGGCGCCAAGGTCAGTGTTATTCCCCCCTAACTATCCAGGCGATCAGCCAAGATACCTGGGAAACTTTCACTCCGTGCTGCCAACCAAACCAACATACAGACGTATGGCGAACAGTCGATGATTTTAAACTTAGGATTACGCCGACGTTTCACATGGATCTTCATAGTAGCTGACGTACGTCACGCTATACTAGGTGCAGACTTCCTAAGTCATTTCAATCTGTTAGTTGATATCAGCAAGAAAAAACTGATTGACAATTGCACCCAACTCAAGATCCACGGTATTACATGTGATTACTCTGTTCATAGTATTTGCATAGAAAAGCCGGAGAGTGAAATGTTCTCTACTTTATTACAACGATTTCCTAAAATCCTTAAACCCTCATACAACGATGTTAGCTGGCATGGTGACAATCCTAGCGGTGCTAGAGAATATAGGTTTTAGTGAATGCTGCTGGATCTAATACTAAGTATTGCTCTTTGTGATAGTTTCCAGTATGTGGATGAACTGGTTATAAGCGGATAACGTAGATGTATGTTTAAACTTTTGGGGTTCAAGTTCTTACCTTCTCATTTTCGTGATACTTCTCTTAACTACCGAACTTCATCTTCATCTTGTGTTTCAGATTATATCCTGTCGTTTACTCAGCTTATCCTTTTCTTTCTTGAAGGTAAAGCTGTTCTTCGAGTTATAAATGTCCTTACTACCCTATTAATGCTAACGAAGTGACCAATCAGTAGGAGGTCCAGTAAGTAATCACAGAATCCTACGGATGCAGACTTAGTCATCAAGTACATATTGTTCGCAGTATCTTATTGAACGGTATTGTTGCTTTAATATTCACTATGGACTGGTGTTAGCTTTTATTCTAACATTATCGGGTTGGTGCTCTCGTAGAAACCTAGTCAGGGGCTGTATATTCATCTACCCTTAGGCTTTCATCATGTTTGTAGGGAAAAATACAAAAACTACCTATAGACTGGCATTGTATTTTCTGTGGAAAAGCTTGAAGGTTAGAGCATAAAATGTTCGTTATATGTATTTATATATTTGCTGTAAAAAGGGCTTTTGTCACGGTTGAAAAGGTATGATACAGCCCTTGAGATATGCTGTTTTGGTGTCGATTAGTGTTAGATACGTTTAGTTCACCGATATAGCTGTAATTAAAACTTAATTACCAAATCAAATCATAAATTGTCACTATCGTTGTATATACCATAGTCGGCTTTGTTTCCTCATTTTAATTGACCTATTCTTAACCTGGTTTAAGACCTCTTCTCAGCTGGGAAACAGTAAACATGAAGTGAGAAATGTTCAGTGTATCCATCAATTGTTTGTAAGTACTTGGCAAATCAATTAAACAATGTGGGTACACTGTCGCATCTCGTCTTATTTCAATTCTTTGATTTAAATAGTAATTGAGAAATTCATTGCGGCAAAGATCTGCAGATGGGTCTATGTGCATCATGCGAAGATGACTGACATTGAATACGTCTTATATTCACCTTGGGATCATAATTTTAGGTTAATTATGTCATATATATTTAGGTGAGCTGGCCGTTTATTAGTAGGCTTCAGCTTTCTTATGGGTGGCAGTAACATCAATTGGCAGAGTTTAGCGTCGCTTTCATCATATTTTATTAAAAAACTTGTCAAATATCCTTACTTACCAGTTAAGTGTACGTTTAGTTGTTTCTCTGTATACTGTGAGTTCACAGTATTATACGTCTTCCGTGTTATACTATCAGCGAGATGAAAATTCCCCCCTAGGTATTTAAATGTATATGTAAGAATGAAGCTACATACATACTGCGTGGGTGGCACAGTGGTTAGGGCTCTCGCCGACCATGCACATGGTCCGGGGTTCGATCCCCTGAGGACGCACACCTGATATCTATGGTCGGCCTGCAGAATTTGGGCTACCGATATCCATGCTGAAATTCCATACTTGTACCAAAAATACAGTGTGGAATCAAGCTGTAAATCAAAATAAATAAATAAATAAAATTTAAACTCATCGTTTTGCTTCTTTACATTCTCTCCCGTCTTACTCTCCTGACAACTTGTTGATATTATAATTACTATTATTATTATTGCTGTCGATACATAGATTATTCTTCAAATTTAATGAGCTGACTGTTGTTACTCTTTCTAATTTCCGTTTCTGTCTCTTAGTCTGAATAACTTCACTAATTTTATCTATTATTATTACTATCTCTTTTCTCTTGTCGACGATATAGAAGGACTAACTGGTGAAAGGATCAACTTCAATCACAGTAGTAACAGTCTTAACATACCTCATACTACAAACCTCATATAATTAATCCCAGCACTACTCCCTTTGGAGTCAACCAAACCTACGACAGTCGAGTGGCGGGGCAAGCTACGCAGAAGTTTACCGAAGATCAGGAACCCATACCTTACAATCAAGAAGCGAGCACAAAGAAATCAAATTGGTTTATACTAGCTCGTAAAAACGATATTGGATATTGAAAGTATGACCTTGTAACTTTTTCGAAGCTGATGTGTACGCTGCATAATTGTGGCAGAATAAAAACTTCTATCGGTAGAATATTTAACACTATTTTCTTTTCTTCCCTTAGGAATTTTTGAGAGAAAACGTTACATTTCTCCTAAATTTCCCCTTAATTTCTGTATTACGTTGCCCATAAATTTATCTACGTGTTGGCGCACTATTGTCCCAGCTAGCATTTTTTTCGGGCGCATTGCAGACTTTTTGGGGCAAACTTTGGGTAGATCTACTTACGTGGGACAGTGCCCCGAAGTCTGCCCCAGAAAGTCTGCAATGCGCCCGAAGTCTGCCCTAAAACGTTTGCAATGCGCCCGAAAAAATGCTAGCTGGGTACTGCTCCTGTAGTACATTGGGACACACTTCAGGGCCACTGCGGATGTTTCGGGACTGCTGCAGACAATTGTCCTACTTTCTTCAATGCACCCTAAGTTCGTGTAAGTCACTGATTATCCCCATATACAAGAAGGGAGACAAGTCTTCCTGTAAAAATCACAGAGGGATTAGCTTGAATAATATAGTATCTAAAGTCCCAGGCTCAATAATCATGCGTAGACTAAGTGGTGCTAGGGAGGCACAAACACGAGAGAGCCAGACAGGCTTTAGACCAGGAAGAGGGTGTATTGATCATATCTTCACCCTCCGACAGATTCTAGAACATAGGAATTCCTACCGGCGTCCAACAGTCATTATATTTCTTGACCTAAAGGCAGCATTCGACTCTGTCGATCGAGTTGTCTGGAGATGCTTGGCTGTAAAGGGAATGCCGAGAAAATATATTGCACTGATTAAGGCACCCTACTCGTACTCATACAGCCAGGTGAGGGCTTACGGCGAGTTGTCATCTGAACTGGTGACGACTAGTGGTGTCCGTCAAGGATGCCCATTATCCCCTTTTCTATTCAACTTCATCATAGATGTACTAATGGACTTAACCCTAAGTGACTTCAGCGATTCAGGGATTGACTTGCTACCTGGGAATAATCTCGTTGACTTGGAATATGCAGACGATGTAGTCCTTCTAGGCGAAGACGCTGACGAGATGCAGAGTCTTCTGAACACCTTGAGCTGTAATCTACGAATGTTTGGCACGCGATTCGTTCCCGCCAAATGCAAGATGATACAGGACTGGACTACATCGACGCCTAGTTTAAAAATAGGAAGTGAAGTGTTAGAGCATGTTGACCGCTTCACTTATTTGGGAAGTACCATCAGCCAGTGCCAATGGGTTGATCTCTAACAAAATCTCAGCACGAATACAGGGGGCTCGTTTCGCATTTGCCAGTTTACGCCGACTCTGGCGTAGACGAGATGTTCGACTATCGACCAAAGGGCGGGTGTACTGCTCATCAGTCCGCTCCGTCCTCCTTTATGGTTGTGAGACCTGGCCACTGAGAGTAGAAGACATGAAAAGACTAGCTGTCTTTGATCATAGGTGCCTGCGCTCTATTTCCCGTGTAAATTGGCATAATAAGGTGAGCAATATTGAGGTTAGGCGTCGAGTTCTAGGTAAACAGGGGAAATAAATCGACGAAGTTGTGAAGTTACATAGACTGAGATGGTTAGGACATGTGTTACGTATGCCTAGTCATCCCCTTCCTCGACGAGCAATGTTAGCGGATATAGGGTCAGGCTGCAAAAAAGCTAGCGGAGGTCAAACAAAAACATGGCACCAGTCAATCAAATCTACAACAGTTAGTCTAAGCCACGTAGGAAGGTGTAGACTTCTTGGCTGGTTGGGGTCCTCGGGACGGTAAAAACCAATGGTTGGAAACAATTGGTGACATGCCTCAAAATCGTTCTCAATGGCCCTGGGGCAGATGCATCCACTCCTTGTGATTTATGATTTCCAATGAAACTGTTTTGCTCTTCGTTATTACTCCTCCTTTGTCTCACACCTCTGCGTACTCTCTCTATTATGCTTTTCTTGTACTTTCTTCTCTTGCTTTGTGTGCTACATGGAGGGAGTGTGGCGACTTGAACTCCCGCACATTTGTGCAAAGTTCTATATCGAAAACAGACAGACCTTAAGTTTTCGCCACAGAATGATTGCAACAGACCCGAAGATGTTAGCAGGGATGGTGACAATCCTAGAGGTGCTAGAGAATATAGGTTTTAGTGAATGCTGCTGGATCTAATACTAAGTATTGCTCTTTGTGATAGTTTCCAGTATGTGGATGAACTGGTTATAAGCGGATAACGTAGATGTATGTTTAAACTTTTGGGGTTCAAGTTCTTACCTTCTCATTTTCGTGATACTTCTCTTAACTACCGAACTTCATCTTCATCTTGTGTTTCAGATTATATCCTGTCGTTTACTCAGCTTATCCTTTTCTTTCTTGAAGGTAAAGCTGTTCTTCGAGTTATAAATGTCCTTACTACCCTATTAATGCTAACGAAGTGACCAATCAGTAGGAGGTCCAGTAAGTAATCACAGAATCCTACGGATGCAGACTTAGTCATCAAGTACATATTGTTCGCAGTATCTTATTGAACGGTATTGTTGCTTTAATATTCACTATGGACTGGTGTTAGCTTTTATTCTAACATTATCGGGTTGGTGCTCTCGTAGAAACCTAGTCAGGGGCTGTATATTCATCTACCCTTAGGCTTTCATCATGTTTGTAGGGAAAAATACAAAAACTACCTATAGACTGGCATTGTATTTTCTGTGGAAAAGCTTGAAGGTTAGAGCATAAAATGTTCGTTATATGTATTTATATATTTGCTGTAAAAAGGGCTTTTGTCACGGTTGAAAAGGTATGATATAGCCCTTGAGATATGCTGTTTTGGTGTCGATTAGTGTTAGATACGTTTAGTTCACCGATATAGCTGTAATTAAAACTTAATTACCAAATCAAATCATAAATTGTCACTATCGTTGTATATACCATAGTCGGCTTTGTTTCCTCATTTTAATTGACCTATTCTTAACCTGGTTTAAGACCTCTTCTCAGCTGGGAAACAGTAAACATGAAGTGAGAAATGTTCAGTGTATCCATCAATTGTTTGTAAGTACTTGGCAAATCAATTAAACAATGTGGGTACACTGTCGCATCTCGTCTTATTTCAATTCTTTGATTTAAATAGTAATTGAGAAATTCATTGCGGCAAAGATCTGCAGATGGGTCTATGTGCATCATGCGAAGATGACTGACATTGAATACGTCTTATATTCACCTTGGGATCATAATTTTAGGTTAATTATGTCATATATATTTAGGTGAGCTGGCCGTTTATTAGTAGGCTTCAGCTTTCTTATGGGTGGCAGTAACATCAATTGGCAGAGTTTAGCGTCGCTTTCATCATATTTTATTAAAAAACTTGTCAAATATCCTTACTTACCAGTTAAGTGTGCGTTTAGTTGTTTCTCTGTATACTGTGAGTTCACAGTATTATACGTCTTCCGTGTTATACTATCAGCGAGATGAAAATTCCCCCTAGGTATTTAAATGTATATGTAAGAATGAAGCTACATACATACTGCGTGGGTGGCACAGTGGTTAGGACTCTCGCCGACCATGCACATGGTCCGGGGTTCGATCCCCTGAGGACGCACACCTGATATCTATGGTCGGCCTGCAGAATTTGGGCTACCGATATCCATGCTGAAATTCCATACTTGTACCAAAAATACAGTGTGGAATCAAGCTGTAATAGAAAAAAGTAAAGTTGCGTGGAAAATAAAAAAAACGCGATTAAGCGAGACATTGACTGTTTGAATTTTCGTATTGTCTTCGTCCTTTATGCAGTTATCTGCGTGGTTCAACTTCTTTTCTGGTGATATTTTCTCAACCACCGGCTAAACATAGAGTTTTCATCCCCCTTGGGGTTATTAACATGTAGACTTAGGATATCATGAGCACTGGTAGAATATATTTATATCGTAGGAAAATTCCCTTGATAAGAAAAGCGATATAGTATTAATTACTGATGATGTTTCAAGCGTATAATCAATATCACATATAGAAAGCTAGTAAGTTGTGTGAATACATCAGTACAACTGTGGGCAGCAAACACCATCCATTTAATACTGTATCACTGTGACATTTTCCATGGACCTATATCTTCCTGTAATGTGTTGGTTAAGTAAGTGGGCTATTTCTCGGTACACAGTCTACTTTATTGTAACATTTTAGTGACTAGATGAGATCCTTGTCCTTTCTGTTGACTTGCCGTTTTATGGCATTTTTATGTGTGCAGTTATGGGCATTGATTAAGCAGGTAGATTTTCCTAAAGCATTTTCCATATGCTTGAGACTCCCCGTTGTAATCATATTGGGATAGTTATTTGTTTTTTTATATTTATCTGTATAAACCTTTTATGTTCCCTACTGGTCCTATTTCCAATATTGTTTTAAACGCTCAAACGAATGAAAGGAAGGTGAAAAGGAGAAATGTTATTCAACAACCAGTTGCATTTCCATACAGCCGTCAGTAAGCCACACGTATTGATTAGACTACCTAACTGCACAAATCTCGGTAGGCAAAGTGCGGTTCGAGATAGTGACGAACTATTTGAAAGTTGACTATCCAGAACAGTGAGTCGCAGTTTCACACTCCAAAATATCTCTTGAACCTGCTGACTTACCTTTAGTAAATTGTGTATTGAGTTCAAACCGTTTCATGGTGTGGCCACACACTAATCTTATAACGTCATTAGTTTAATTATTAAACTACAATAGTAACTTAGAGCAATTAGCTACACCTACTAAGTGATGTACTGTTGGTTTGACACATTTTCTTGTGTTTATTGGTTTTAGATTTAAGGGTATTTATAGCGAACGCAGTACCGATCCTCCCTTGTTAGTGCTTAATCTATTGCTTCTACACACTCACGCTGTTTTGCTTTTAGTTCCGAGTTTTCAGTTGAAAGAAATAATCACTCTTTCACTTAATTTGCTGTTTTTAGCTTAGCTGATCAAGTATATAATGAGGGGATTTCTTATGCCCTGTGCTTCTACTCAATATTGTGCTGGCCTCTTTTTTCTCTTCACTTTATTGATGGAAAACAAACCTACACTTTTCATTTAGTTTGCTGTCCAGATACCGGAATTGTTGAGACACTGTTGTGGTTTGATGCATGAAATCAGTGTTATTTATGCGGTAGTTATTATAGAGGTAAACATCAGCAATGGTCTGTCTGTCTGTCTGTTTTCGACATAGAACTTTGCATATATGTGCGGTAGTTCAAATCACCACACTCCATGTAGCACACAAAGCAAGAGAAGAAAGAAATGCAAAATAGAGACCGTAAACAGAGGTGTGTGACGAAGGAATAGTAATAACGAAGAACAATTGGAAATTTTATAAGTCACAGGGAGTGGATCATCAGCAATGAAGCATAATTTTTGAATTTAAATATTCGTATGGTATTTGACAATGAGCTAAATGATTTGTGACCGAGCTTACAAACTTATTATGTAACTCAAAAGTTTAATGCCTTTGCTTATTCTTACTTTTGATCATATATTGTATTTTGTTCTATTTTAGATTTGTACAACATAACTTTTAACATCCTCTGAAATGAATGTGCCTCATGCTAATGGTTTCTTGTGTCGCAAATTTGTGCCATTCATCTGTAAAAAAACCAGATTGGCAAGCACTAACTCTGTTCGTGTGCGTTTTGCACCAAGTCCTACAGGTTTCATGCATTTAGGCGGTTTACGTACTGCCTTATTCAATAAATTATTCGCTGTAAAACACTCTGGAAAGTTTATACTGCGTATTGAAGACACTGATAAGGTATGGTAATGATTTATGTTTAAACATTTTAGTAGTCCAGGTCCCAACCGCATGCTAAAGAGGATATTTTAGAATCACTGAATTGGTGTGGATTAATACCTGATGAAGGTCCTCTTATTGGTGGAAATTATGGTTCATACATTCAGGTATTTCTATCGTAAACTGAAGCAATATTTTGAATTACTCTAAATTTTTTACCATTATAGATTAATGCAAACCACTTATTATATGTAGGTTCGTATATTAGGGTGTGAGCGAGCAATGGAAAGCTAAATATTCGAAACAATGAACCACAGTTATATTTTAACGACCACTTTATGCATCTAAGCGACCAAATATTGAGTAAGATGAATCCTGATTAAACATTCTTCGTGAAATGTTTTAGTTGGTAGCTGTGGTCAGTATTTCCTTAAAAAGTGAAATGTTTTGTGTTTGTATTGTAGGTTGTGCGTCTGTAGAACAGCAGTAGAATGCTCTCCAACCACGCACCTGGTTCGAGGTTCGATCCCCAGCTGACGCACTCCTTTACCTTGCTAAGCCAGTAATAAGACTGGTAAAGAGGTAAGGTTGGGCGTGGGGCTAGCAACCACATCCCGTAAAAATAAAACACCACTGATACCGAAACTTCAAGTGTCTGGCTTGAAGCCCTATGTTACACTGGGAACGTAAAGGAATAGAAAAAATGGGCTGTGAAAAATATTCCTCTCTTACCTTATCAGATTGTTACGATCTTGAGTAAAGTCTTCTATTTTATCTAAACGATTAGCTTTACGCAAAGGTTTTGTGAACAAGCAAGGTTGCAACCGGTCTTTATTCCTATACTTGGAATAAGTTTCAGAAAATATCTACAGTTATATCGATCCAAGCAGTCAGATGGCATCAAATCTCTGAAATTAAGAAATATTTCCTTTTGTTTTCGTTTTTCTTATCCAAGAGATGAACTTCTCTGCTTATCATATTATTTTATCTATATTCTGTCAAATGTAATACTCTTCCAGTTTGGATTTTCATCTTTAAAATTTCCGACGTTAAATCAAAGATTATCTTCAGTTGTTTTCAGGGAGCATATTTAGTATGTTCTTTATGAGTATACTGGTAATTCATATTGGGCTTGTTTGCGAAGGATTATAAACTTGCATTATTCTTTTCATCGGTTGTCAACAGAAGTCCACAGTTTCTTTGTCATGTAGCCTGGCAATTACTACCTTCATGAATACTCATTAAAATACGAGTTTTATTTCCTTGTCTGGTTCGTAGTGTAGATAACTTCTAGATCGATGGTGATACCAATTTATCTGTGTGTCTGTCTGTTTTCGACGTAGAACTTTGCACCGATGTGGAGAAGGTTAAGTCGCTACACTCCATGTAGCACACAAAGAAGACAGTAGAAGAAATGTATAATAGAGACAGTAAACAGAGGTGTGAAACAAAGGAATAGTAATATAGTTTCGTTGGGAATTATAAGTCACAGGGAGTGGATGCATCTGCGCCAGCCACTGAGAGCGATTTTGAGCCATATCACCGATTGTCTCTAGCCATTGGATTTTACTGTCCCGAGGACCCTAACCGGCCAGGAAGTCTACACCTTCCTGCGTGACTGACTTTAACTGTTGTGGATTTCATTGACTGTCGAAGTCATGTTTTGGTTTGACCACCGCTAGCTCTTTTTCAGCCTGACCCTATGTCAACTAACATTGCCCGTCGAGGAGGGCGAAGGCTAGGCATGTTCTAACCATCTCAGTCGATGTACCAATTGAGTTTTATCAGACTATACACAACTTGAATTGTAAGTATTTATTACCATGTTTATTATTTTTATTGCTATTTTCATACTTCTAGTCTGAAAGAAAACATCTTTATTCAAGTGTTGTACAAAAGTTGATCGATGAAGGTTACGCATATCGATGTTTTTGTTCATCGAAACGATTGGCTATTCTACGCAATGAACAAAGTCGTCGTAATGAACCTCAACGTTATGATAATCGTTGTCGTAATCTATCTGAAAAAGAGATAGAGAAAAATCTGTCAATGTCTCTACCATATACTGTCAGATTTAAGGTTTGTTATTGAACTGTTGTAATTCATTGCAATTAATAATACATATTTTGATTGGACACTAGTAACTAGTGTGACGTATCTAGTCCTTTCTTTGGTGCAGACTGAATTCTGTCACTTAGGTTTTCAATGTGACCACCATTCCAGGTAGCTCTTCGTGACGGTGCACATTGATTTGATGATATTAGATGGTTGGAGGCAATCGGCAGGAAGCCCAGCCTTCGACCTAGGTTTCGTGCTAGTTGGCACTCGTGTGCAAGGCGTGCTTGAAACCTCAAAGGAACTCATGTCCCCCGCCTGAGATTCAAACCCGCGTCACCCAGTGCCTCGGTCAGGGACGTTATCACTGAAGGATATGAGTTCCTTCAAGGTTGCAGATACACATTGCTGTGACTGGCGAGTGCCAACTAGCACGAAACCTAGATCGAAGGCTGGGCTTCCTGCCGATTGCCTCCAACTATCTTATATAATTATACATTTACTTAAATATTTATTGTAAGACCACACAAAAAACTAAGAGTGACTAAGCTGAGATTTGACAACAAGATTTCCGACTGTTTGCGTGAATCATAATGTCAGTTCACAACCTCCTGGTTGAAAATAGTATAATTAGGTCTTCCAGCGGTTGAAAGGAAACTATTTATTGATTCATTAATTTGGACAAAAAGATGAAGACGTTTTTCTCTTTTTCTGAAATTTCACTTATTAAAGTGGAACCTAGATTATACTAATGGGCAAAGTTAAACTATCATAGCCCCAAAACTACAGTGACCTTAAACAACCAATCAGCTTTCAGATGCAAACAAGTCGCATAATCGTTGAAAAATGCACGAGAAAACGTTGCAAATATGATATCTCACTGTATAGTTGTAGCTTATGTTGTTGTAAGAATGTCTCTCAGTCAATACACAGATAATCTATAGAGAAATTGTACCATGCGTGATATATGCATTCATCCAGGTGACTGTAGATCATGGTACTTTGAACTCCATCGATATTTCTGACACTATACTTCAACTTACTTCTAACTGTAACCATAATCCCAATTTCTAATCTTAACCTTAACCCCAAACCCTAACTCTTAGTTTTAAAAGCCAGAACCCTACCTAAGGGTGTAGATTTTCTATAGTTTGGTTTGTAAGGGTTAGTTATTTTTCTTACGAATTTGGCCACGGATTGATATCAGTTAGAGAACCGTTGAAAACTAGCACTGGAGTACTGGACAGCTGTTTCATCCTAGTTTGGGAATCATCGGTAGTGCGCATCCACCACTAAGGTCTGAACCCCCAGGACCTTCCGGTTACAACGCAAACTGGCCACTGGGACCCGATTCAATGGCCAGTCCATGAATACTAACTTGTGCCAATTCATGAAGTAGCGTGACCACTTCGCAATATCTTCTTCGATGAATTACTGCCTCACCTTCGACCTGATGTACCCTACTGGTGACGGTTTCCCACTAGAACCACAGGTTAACTGTCTGAATAAGGTAGTCTCTAATGAGCATCAGATTAATTGTCAATTATTGGTTTTGTAGGGTTTTGTGTTTGATTGGTTGGAGGATTTCATCATGAGCTGACATCAGTTAAAGAACCATTGGAAAACCAGTAGGGAGTACTGGGCAGCTATTTCGTCCTAGTTTGAGACTCTTCATCAGGAGGACAATAAGGTAATTGTGTATTTGGAAAAAAATAAGTGGTCAATGAAGCCGTTTTGAAAAAAATTATTATCAAGTTGTACAATCGTATATATATATATATATAATTATTGTTTCCCTACTCTTACTATTAAATATGTTTTATGCTTCTACCTGATTACTAATTTGTAAAAATATACATTTCTTTAAATATTCAACAGACTGATGATTCACCGATTACTGTGAATGATATTGTATTTGGTAGTTCAGTGTTCAATTCACTCAACTCTGATGGTGATTTTGTAAGTCTCTTTTTTAGCTTGAAAATCACCCTTTGAGTCATATGAAAAAGAGAAGACGTTCAGCGAAGTGACTCTTTTCGGCGAATTTATTCACATAGCTGTACAATCGCATTTATATATATATATATATATATATATATATATAATTATTTGTGTGTGTACATGAGGTTTGTCAAGTTTAGATAATTAATCAGGTAATACAAGAATGCAGAGTTCAGGACTTTGCATACAGAAGTTCTTTCAATCTCTACACTTGCAATGGACGTAATCTATCTTAATACCTGACAAGTAAATTCTATTTCTTTCTTTCTACCTCTTCATTAGTATTATCTTGTCTTTTCAATTGTAATCTTTTACATTTTCAACTTTCGTGTTCTCTACTCTCACTCGATTTAATTTTTACACCTCACTACCACTGTTACTGACTTGACCAACGCTCAATTTCTAGTCACTCATTTATGTTACGTCATCCAACTTATTTGCTCAATTTCAGTTCTAATTTAAATAGCATTTTTATCTACCCCACTTCTACTTAGTCTCTACCTGTAATTACCTCTGTTGACACCCTGGCCTAAGATTATATTTTTTTTATTTTTGATTACAGCTTGATTCCACACCGTATGTTTTGGTACAGGTATGGAATTTTCATCATGTGATATCGGTAGCCCAAATTTTTGAGGCCGACCATAGATATCAGGTGAGCGTCGGCAGGGGATGGAACCTCGGACCATGTGCATGGTCGGCGAGAGTCCTAACCACTGTGCCACCGACGTCGTCTAACTTACTAACTCAATCTTACTTTAGTTGGTGTCTAATTAACCTTGTTTCTATATTAGATCATTCTTGCATTGCCTTATTAATTATCTAAACTTGACAAACCTCATGTACACACACAAATAATTATATATAAATTCGATTGTACAGCTATGTGAATGAATTCGCCGAAAAGAGTCTCTTCGCTGAACCTCTTCTCTTTTTCATATGTCTCTTTTTTTCTGTCCTACTTCGTTGCGTTTTACACGTATAAGTATCACATTAATAGAATAATAGCTTGTGCTTATTTCGACACATTGTATATTCAAATCCTGTAGCAAGCAAAAAGTGTTGGGCATGATTAGCTTAAAGTTTTCATGACCTGGCTCCACGTCTGCTCACATGCTTTCATTTCCTCTTCACATCACCTCCATGTGACCCTCTCACTGACGACCAACTCGCCACTTCCCCCTTCCAGTTTCACTCAACAGCCTGTCTTGTGATGTCATTTGATGGTTTGTTTTGTCAAAGTATGGCCAATCCACCTGCACTTCTTCCTGCATATTTGTTGCACGATCGGTTCCTGCTGGGTTCGTTCGCTCCCAGAGATCCCTGTTGCTGATCTTTTCTGCCGTCTGATCTTGAGTATCGAGCGAAGACAGCTGTTTGTTCGAAGTGGCCTTCGTGACGCGGCGCCAAGTCTCTGATCTGTATAGTAGGGAGCACTGACTTCACATTGTATTAAAAAATACGGATCTTATTTACATTTTCATGCGGAGTCCTGTTGATCTCCCCACAGACTTGAGAGTAGTAAAAGCTTGTCTTGATTTCCCGATCCTCGCCTTGACATGCACACCAATTTCATCTGCATGTAGTTGAGACGATGCTTCCCTGGTATGTAGGTAGGTAGGTAAAGGAGGTTACTTCTTTCAGATTTCTCCCATTTATGCTGATTGTTGTCTATTGTTGTTACTGTTGCTGCTGGCCAGGAATCTTCATCATCTCTGTTTTCTCTATGTTCACTTGAAGTCCTATCGTTGATGCCTCTTCTGCCAACTTGTTGTTTTCCACTTGCATATCTTCCCTTTTGGGGGATTTCAGACATATCTCATCGGCGAATTACAGATCATCCAAGATTTCTTGTGTGGGTCAGCATGAGGAATTACCCATCATATTTTTAACTTTCACAGACAACTAACGACTTTTTATCATTTTCGTTACCAAATAGAATGCGTTGTGATTTGGTTGTGATTGTCACTGGCGTTGGAATCCAGGATTCGTGAACTTCATCCCATTTGGGACTCGTCAGCTAGATGTATCCGCATTCCAAGTGAGTGATGTTGTCCTCAATGAGACTAGAAGCCAGCACACGTCGTTTCCAGACACCAAAGTCTTAACTACTAGGCCACTTCGGTCACTTCTTGTGCAATAGATTTTAATTATTTACATAATTTAATTTCCCCGTTGATTGATATCATCCAACTGATATATCCAGTCTCTCTTAACATATCAGCTCCTAGTGCGGATGCTTCGACAATACCTGAGGATTAACATGTTCTTCGGTGGACGGTGACAAGCATTAAAATCCAGGTTGTGCCTTTCGCCCTATTTGGAACTCGTCAGCTGGATGTGCCAAGTGGCCTACTGGTTCACACTTTGGCGTTTGAAACGATGGCTGGTAGGTTCGCGTCTCAGTAGGAACACTGTCACTTACTGGAAATGTAGGTGCATCCAGACGATAAGTCTCAAATAGGACAAAATGTGCATCCTAGATTCCACTGTTACTTCAAGTTTATAATCGTCAGACATCATCGAAGCATGCAACATATCAACAGAGACCGGACATCTCGGCCAGTTGTAATCAATCAGTGGGAAGTTCAGAAATTAAATTAATAATAATAATTTGCGTTATTCCAAAACAGTACTTGTGATGCAGAATGGAATTCTTGCCATTTCACCACAGTATTATAGCATCCAGTTAGTACATTAACTATAAATAAAGTTCTACATAGATTAAGGGTAATCTCAGTTTTGACAACAACATGTTGGCATGTCGGTAGCAAAGCCAAAATTGAACAGTGTTTGAAAGTGTTAGAAAAGTAGATGCTAGCATATTTACTGGTGTAAGCGGTAACAAAAGGGTCGAGATATACAGTGTGAAAGAACGAAGAATGTTTTAAATAGAATTTGTAAGGAAGAAAGAAACAAAGCAGCACGTAACAGAGAAAAAAAGTGAGGAAGGGAAGGAAAAGAGAGAAAGAAAACGTTGTACCTATATGTGATATGAGTCGGAAAGATGAGATCCAGTTGTTCTACTGACTATTTAATAAGTTATAGGTATCACGCCTAGTGCTTTCTTTATCACACAGAACACGAGCTCAGTAGGGTATTGTTGATTTGTAGTACTTGCTAGTGCGAGCATATAGTTTTCTATATAGGCTTCTGGTTCTGCCTGATGAGATAGATACAAGGGGAGAGATGTGAATGAAGAGGGTGTTGTGAGTTAGATAAAGTGGATTTAGCCCATTTTTCACATGAGTCCAAGTGCCTGTCAATGAGAGTACTAACAAGCTGGTTAAGTGGCACGTTACTTACCCTGCTGACGACCTTTAACATCCTGCGTAGTAAGGTATAGTCTTTCTTCAGTAGCCCTGGAAAATCTAAGGAGGGACAATAGAGAATTTAGAGGTTGACGGATATCTCGTTCAGCAACTTCTAATTAATTTATTCCCCCGTACCAAAGACAAAGCAAAAGCCAATAATTGATCGTCCAAACTTCGTAATATATTTCGGAACCAAAACAAGGCGTTAGACGAACGCTTAGCTAGCTAGTGATCGTGCACGTGACACGACGGGGTACCAAATGGAGGGGATGCTTGACCGGAAGCCTTCAGCTAAACAAGTCGACTTAAACAGTGGTGGTCAGCATCCAATGAGTGATTGCTGTGGTCAATAATTTTGGGGAATTATTTACCGCTACAAGAATAATAGGCAGAATGCGAGAGTTAACGAATTGTAGGAGCAAGGGGTGGGTTATTATAGAATTTCTTAACTTCTTGATGTAGATGGTAAGACGGAATATTTTCTTAGAAATCATCAGGAAATGAGACGACCAGGAAAGACCAATCAGCAGATAGAATGACGCCAAGATAAATATTTGATTTCCGACTTGGTTTCTATTTCAGTGCCATCTATGTTGCACACCTCGTGAGTTCTAACCAGTTTATTTAGGTCAGATCAGATTGCACAAAGACATCTTTAGTTAGTTTTCAAAAGAAACAGCTGTTTTATTTAAGAGCAGATTGTCATACACGCAGAATATCCTTTGTAGAAGTATGTTAGCAAATAAGATTAAAGGTAATGTCAATATTCATTGCCTGAATGAATTTTTTGAGTTAATACTATGCTTAGTAATAAGTAGTGCAATCCCTTAGTAATGTTTCTAGGAGTGCAGAAAAGGAGGGTGAATCCTTCACAAACAACATAAAGTGATTCTAATAAAGCTTTGTGAACACAAGTTAGTTACTTAGTTTATTGAGTGTTCTGAAAAGAATTAGTATTTTTAGACAAAGCGATAAGAAGACGTAATTTGTCTGAATCGTGTGTAATGTGTGTATTTGCGCAACACATTTCAAACAATCTGATCCATCGCACAAGGACTTGTCATAGGAATATATATGAAATTAATAAAGAGTTAAGAGGTGAGAAAATAAATTTAAGTCAAGTTAAAAGAGACAGGATATAAAATTGACGTTAACACATCTTTTAAACTTATCTATAGAACGTATTTGGGGTGTATCCTAAAGTTTGTGGAAGCTCCAGCTGGCAATTAGGAAGTTTAAACCACTTTTATGCGTTCAAAGCAACAATTCGTCATCACACTAAACCTTCCTTGACAGACTTTGTTTTAATACCATAGCAGATGTATCTCTGTTATTTGGTTTAGTGATTTTCGTTGTTATTTTGACCTTCAATGTATCCTTTTAACTTGACCTAAATCTATTTTCTCACTTCTTAACTCTTTATTAATTTAGAAGAGTTTGGTTTGTAAGGATTAGATTTGTATATAAGAGTTTGACCATGAATTGATATCAGTTAGATAACCATTGAAAACCAGCACTGTACAGCTGTTTCATTCTAGTTTGGGAATCATCGGCAGTACGCACCCACCGCTAGGGGTCGAAACCCCAGGACCTTCCGGTTACAAGGCAAGCTAGCTGGTATACCATTCAGCTGCTGGGACTCCGCTTCAGTGGCCAGCGCGCATGTATTATTTTAACTTCTACCAATTCGTGATTTAGCTCGACCACCAACCAATGACATCGGTGCGAACTCCATCCTCAAACTTCACTGGATGGACCTCACTGGTCACGACTTTTAATTGCATATATATTCCTATGCCAAGTCCGTGTGCGATGGATCAGATTGTTCGAGATGTGCTGCGCAAGTACACATTACGCACGATTCAGACAAATTGCGTCTTCTTATTTGCTTTGTCTAAATTCACAAAGGGGACTAATTGTTTTAAATTAGTATTTTATAAAAATTTGGCGACTATATCTTACAACATTGAAAGGTGTATTGATGACTGACTGTGAACGAAAATGCCTTGATGAGTTACAAAATCTGGAATCCCGGTGGGTGCGTATTGATGAAGAGTCCCAAACTAGGACGAAACAACTGTCCAGTACTCCCAGGTTTTCTAATGGTTCTCGAACTAATGTCAGCTCATAATGAAATCCTGTAACCAATCAAATCCCTACAACCCAACACTTAAATATCAAGGATACAAAGTTTGTCATAATTACAGTAATGCGATATCGTGTGATAACAAAACTAGACAAGAGTACAAGAGCGTAACGACGTAATATTTTGATCTTATTATTAAACTACTCATTTCTATTTTAACTAGGCTTTCACTTGTTCACTTTTACATACGTGTATAGACCCAACAGTTTGAAATTGGCGTCTAAGGTGGTGTGCTGTCTTTTTATAAGGAGAGAGAGAGAGAAAGCTTAGCAATTAAAACTATCCATCTGACAATATGAGAATCATCCCCCTGAGGTGCAAATCTTTTCTTTCATTCCAAAGTGTTATTTGTGAATTCATTCTTTTTTTCAAGGCTTTCTTCATATGTATGAATACCTATGCTCTACAATTTTGCCATAATGTTAATACATATATGTTTGTACATTAAGGTGTATACTGACATGATCCACTCTATATTTATACTTATCACTTGTTGACATTAATCTGAGTTGGAAAAGAGTTAGGGGGATGGTCAGACCTCAACCTTTCATCAATCCATGAGATCCTTGACTGTTATTTTGAGACAGCCGTGTAAGGAGGTGTGTGTAAGGCTCTCTAGTTGGTGGGATTTAGGGACTAAGAAGCAATGACTGGAGACGATTGGTAATATGGCTCTAAATCGTCCTCGATAGGGTCGTAAATCCACTAAACCCCATTATGGTTCTTCTCAATCTTGTTTGTTCTCTTTTATCTTCGTTTGTGGGCTACTGAAAGTGTGGCAGGTTAAACTGCTGCACTTCTGTGTTGAAACCAGACAGTCAATGTACTGAAGCACCATTAATTTTTGTATTGTTGTATTATTTATTTAAGATAGATTAAAACTATTGTTGGCAAAGTTAATTAATAGCGCGTCCCAAGAGATGTGAACGGACGAGTGACTTCAGCCGGTCAATCATAAAATTGAAAGATGTTTGCACAAAAAAATGACGTATATTTACAAGAAAATATATGAAAACACATTAAACAGGGTATCTTTCTGTGATATGACTTAAAAATACGTCAGTTGCTAAGTTAGATTAGTTTTTGTACATGTATTCGTCGAGGTAACTGAAGATGAGATGTTTTTGTGAATTGTACATCTCTTATCCTGTTGTGCAGTCTTCCCCAAAGCCCTCGGCTGAATTGCTGTGGTTTCCAGTTAGACGATGGACGACTGCTTACTAGGGAAATGTGGATGATAAAACAAATGAAAATAAATAATACCAACTCTAAATCTATCCCTAATCGTAACCCTAACCTCAATCCTGACCCTAACTACAAATTCTATCCTAACCGTAATCCTATTTATGAGCGTGCTCCTAACCCTAATACTGACCTGAACCCTAACGAGCTATTGAAACATTGTCCAAAACAGTAGTTAAAACGTGATTTGGGCGAAGTTTGTTCCTTAGTTGGTGAATAGCGCTATGGTAATGACAGGTATCGTTAACCAGCGACTGGCGTGCATTAAAGGTCACTGAAGCGTTCGCACTCGTGGGACGCTATTGTTTAACTTCGTCGTATTTTGTTAATGAATTAAAAAAGGTAATTATTGCAATTTATAAAAACCAGGACTTGAACTTAGGATAGTAGGGGTGATGGCATAAGACATTTTACTAAGCCAATCACTCATAGGTGGAATAGAATTTGAACACATTTATTCTGATACATAAATTTGAGTAGCCGAGCAACCTGTCTTATGCCATCAGATGGATTTGTAATGGTAATTTTAAAGCCATCACGACATTTAGAATTTAAAAGCGTAATTAGTTTATGTTATTTCTGAATAGAACCCAGAAACAGGAATAACGAGGGTCGAAATTGTAGCCAGGGCACTTAAGTACATTAGAGCATTTGTATCCAAATACTAGTCCAGTTTATCAGCCTTTATTATTTTTTTTCAATGACTCAGCTAAATGTTTTACACAGTGAACTGACATTGATCACATAGATAAGAACAACCAATCGAATTTTTTAAAGTATCCACGTAACTGTACCCTTAGTGTGATGATGATAGACACACAGGTCGGACTTATTGAATTTTAAATGTATGATGTCTGTGACACGATGACCGATCATTTACCAATCACTGCAGTTACGCTAACACCTACAATATTATTTTACCTTTTTTTTGTTAAATCCTATGTATTGGTCCAGGCTAGCTACCTTCTGACCTTACAAACAGTCCTAGTCCAGCCCATTAATCATGTCACCGAATCGATTGGATTCTATTGGCGTATGGGTCTAATGGATAGACCACTTTGGTTTCCTCTAAGACCAACGATCAATAAACGGAAACACCTTGAAACGATCAATTGCTCTAAAAACCGCATAGGGGTCTGTTATACGTAGATTGGTAGATAGACAGACATTGACAGCCTACCAAGCAATACGACTCGACCTTGACTGTCGTGCTTGCCATGTGATTATTGGTTGTCTAACTTACATTCCCACCACTTGACCTTGTATGACTTGTATTCTATCTGGTTATACGTATGTAAGTGTAACTTATTGTTCATTTTTTCCTGCACGTTGATGCTGTTTGGTACGTCTCTGTCTCCTCCCATAATTGACAATTGTTTTTATACTGTTGTTTTCGTGTGACCGTATGTTCAAGTTTGATCATGGATTGATATCAGTTAGAGAATTTACGAAAACCAGAGAGTACTGGATAACTGTTTCGTCCTAGTTGCGTACTCATTGGTAGTGCGTATCCACCGGGGGTCGAACTCATGATATTCCGACTACCAGAGAAGCTTGTAGACCATTCAGCCATTGAGATCTGACTCAATGACCCATGTGATTTCTAACCTAATCCTAATCTGTCACTAACCTTACCCTGATATCTCTCTGATTGTCAAGGTAAGCACGTAACTTATCCCTAGCCTAACCTAAAACTAACCAGACAACCTTTTTAATATTCTTATATTTCATTCAACAATTTTTTCGTGACTGTGGTGTTATTCCCCTGGTTTTATTAACTCAATCTACTTGTGCGTTTCAAGGACCCTGATGCATTCATTCGTGGTAAGTTGGAGGAAATAAAGATGCAGTACGCGAATTATGTTGCAAATTCCATCAAGAGGTAGTATTTGAGTACTGTCAGGATACTTGGCTTATAAGAAGCTTGTAGGTATGGAGGAGTAATATTTTTGCAGAGGTATGCATACATTGTCCAGGTACTTGGACTGTCGTTACAGAAGACTTGTCGGACAACATATGTCATTTCCTTCCTAGTCTAGTCTTGTAGGTGCTGTAGGACAGTGAATGGGTCACGAAACAGCATGGCATACAATTATCTGGATGAATTAATGTACAGAAATGGGTTTGGACTCACCGAAGACAGCAATAGGGAGTTAGGAGGTAGTTTTTGGGAAGCACACAGAAAGGTTACCCTGTTCTACGCAATTTTTTAAAACTTTTACTTTGATGTCCATAAAAGTTTTTTTTTTTAATTTGGGCTCATTTACTACGGGCACATCTGGTAGGCTGGTCAAGGTTATCACGCCCGTTTACTCGGGTCCTTCATTTGCGTTGCTAATGCTTAGGTCTATCTATACCTATATTCCATATAATTACATTCACACAATATTCTTTGTTCTAATGTACAACTTCACTTAAAATTACGATAAAACAGCTCTTTTGCTATTGGTGGATGGTTACTAGCAGTGGAATCCAGGACGTGCCTTTCGTCTTACCTGGGACTCGTCATCTGGATGTACTTGCATTCCGCAGTGAGTAATGATGTTCCCACTGAGGCTCTGCATAAGAAGCCGACATGTCAACCTGAGACCGAGCACTTCGGTTCAATCAGTCGATGGGAAAATCTAAAGTTCAATTAAATAGCTTTTTTTGCTTTGCTTATACTTTTTCAAATGAAAACATTTCACAAATTCTTTTCTCACAAATAGATTATCGTGAAATCAGACGGCATGCCTGTTTATCATTTGGCCAATGTGGTTGATGATCACTATATGGAGATTAGTCATGTTATCAGAGGAGTTGTAAGTGGAAAAAGAAACTATTTTTTCTTCTGTGTAATGGTTTTTTTTACCCTCGATAACATTTATGGATTCAGTATTTTCTTTTAGTGATAAGTCTCATAAGGTCACATTTTGAAACAAATGCCAATTATTAGTTTCGTCATACAAGTCAACCTAGTTGAGTGTTGAATTGGATCAGTTGTGTGTGCGTGTGTAATGGAGACTTTCAGAGCTGAAAGGAGGACTCTTCATTAGCTTTAGTTGTAGGCAAAATTCAACAGTGGAGTCCCAGGAGTGCGAACGCTCCAATGCCCACGAACGCATGCTAGTCGTTGGCTGACAGCACCTGTCATAATCCATAGCCGAAATATCAATGTTATTGATCAACTAAGCAGCAAATCTCACTCAGGCTACGTTTTTAAGTACTGTTTTGAGAATGTGTTTGGATGAAGGTAAGTATTGGGGATAGGGTTGGGATCAGGGTCATAATTAGGATAAGGGCTGTAATTAGGGTTAGGGTCAGGATTAGGGTTGGAGTTACGACTGGGGATAGATTTAGAGTTGATGTCATCTGTTTTAATTAGTTTTCTTATCCACATATCCCTGGTAAGTGGTCGTTGATCCTCTCACTGGAAACCACAGTAATTCAACCGAGGGCTTTTAGGGAAGACTCCACAACAGGATAAGAGAGATGAACGATTAACTAAAATAGCTCACCTCTGTGAATACATGTACAGAAACCAGTCTTATTTAGCAACTGATACTCCTTACCATAAGTGGGACGTATTTTTGAGTTATGTCAGAGAAATACACCCTATTTAATGTTTTCATGTAAATATACGTCAATTTTTGTGCAAAAATAACCAGTTTTTATGATTGGTCGGCCAAAGGTCACTCGTGCATCCTTTGGGAAGCTATTGTTGAACTTTGCCTAGTTGGGTACTAGCATTCTGTTTACGTAGGTTTTGAAAATAGCCCTTTTGTATTCTTTGCTCTTCGTACTAATCAAGTTGTTTTATGATTAAATTGTAGAGGACCGAGCTATTCTTGCCGATAAATTTAAACGGTATCTGTTAAATCGTTATGTTAGGCGTATTTTAAAAATAAATAAAAGGCGTTACATGCATGTGTACCATTGCAACTGGTTTTGAATCGTATCACAGAGAATCTTCAGCTGTCAGGTCCGGATGTTCTGTTGTTATATTTAGTATTATTTATTACACCATGAACGTGGTATATTATGGACACTAAGAGGGTTGGGATGCCCAAACCGAAACAGATGGTTGTCTCATAGAATCACTCTCGAGCCACTGATTTGAAGCCGGGTCCACATGATAGTGGAGCAGAGTCAGAAGCTACGTTCACACGGTTGTATGTGACCAAAATAGGTCTGTGCCATTCGATATTCCCGGATTCTGGTGCCTATGTACATCATAGGTTTGGAATCAGACTTTTCCATCTCACTAAGCTAGGTAGACGTGTTTCTTCGCCAGTCCGGTTGTAAACACCAGCCGTTCACTTTTGTAAGGAATACCCCTGTCGCTTGGAGGCCAGTGAATAGGACCTACTTGGCAGGGGCTATGAAGGCGTGGCCACATGGAACTATTTGGTGAGGAAAACCGATGTCTACCCACCGTCTAACCATACTAGGTCATATATGGGGGGCTGAGTGCCCTATACACACACTGACCACTAAATCAGCACTATTATACAAAGCTTAGACAGTTAGACTTGCACGGGCTGAGTGTTTACTTTCTAATTTAGGTTACTTGTTGTTCTTGTGTTTAGTTATTATTTACAATTTTATATTATTATTTGTTAGCTTGCATTTTCACCTGTCTTATTTGTGAATATAGGAGTGGCTTGCTTCTACACCGAAACATTTATTACTGTACAATGCCTTGAATTGGTCACCTCCACAGTTTGCCCATCTTCCTTTACTGCTTTCCAGGTTAGTCAGAAAAATGTGTGTTGTATGACCGGTTTTTTCCTCCTTGTTACAAGATTATTTAAACTATTGTTCACTAGACAGATGTCTAATTTGGTTACATTTCAAAGCGTGTTTCTAAGCGAATAGACCTTTTCATCTCTGTCCAAAGTTCTACAGTGTTTCAGACAGTCAGAGTTGACCAGCATGTAATTTGGGGGTGTGGGTGGGAGATTCTGTTGTCTATTTCATGGATTTTATATAGCTTGTGCTTCATCATACTGTGAACTTGTCCATGCTTGTTGTCTTTCGGCACATATATTCCTTAAGGTTTTTGTCGATTTAAGTGGGATATTTATTAAAGCATAAATAGTACTGTTATTAGCTTGATTGGAAAAGAACGAAAGAGCCAATTCTAAAAACTGGGGTGTTTGAAGATGGTCGATCAAAATTAGTAATTGAACTGATCAAGATTATAGATGTAGTATATGATTTGGGCAGGATAATCTCCGGCTGTTCAACGTTAGTGGTTGTTCCATTTATCAGGAAATAGAGGAATCCTTTCTGATAACCACGGAGGCATTACTGTAGCCAGAATAGACTCTGGAACCCTAAGTTACTTCAAAATACCACACAACTTGCACCCAGGAAGGAAATACTTCAAAAAGTAAGTTTCAGATCTAACAACAGATACATTGACCACATGCGTTTATGCTTCATTGGATTTCCAAACGCAGGAAAACATTATAATTATACCCTTGGGTTTGGAGTGGAACATAGGGCTTCAACAACACATCTCCACTTTGTCCCATTTTCTGCTGTGCTCTTCAGCTCAGCCCACGATTACCCATAATAATAATAATAATAACAGTAATAATATTTTGCTCTATTCCAAAACAGTACTTGTGATGCAGAATGGAATTCTCGCCATTTCACCACAGTATGGCATCCAGTTAGTACACTAACTATAAATAAAGTTCTACATAGATTAAGGGTAATCTCAGTTTTGACAACAACATGTTGGCATGTCGGTAGCAAAACCAAAATTGAACAGTGTTTGAAAGTGTTAGGAAAGTAGATGCTAGCATATTTACTGGTGTAAGCGGTAACAAAAAGGTCGAGATATACAGAGTGTAAAAGAACGAAGAAGAATGTTTTAAATAGAATTTGTAAGGAAGAAAGAAACAAAGCAGCACGTAACAGAGAAAAAAAGTGAGGAAGGGAAGGAAAAGAGAGAAAGAAAACGTTGTACCTATATGTGATATGAGTCGGAAAGATGAGATCCAGTTGTTCTACTGACTATTTAATAAGTTATAGGTATCACGCCTAGTGCTTTCTTTATCACACAGAACACGAGCTCAGTAGGGTATAGTTGATTTGTAGTACTTGCTAGTGCGAGCATATAGTTTTCTATATAGGCTTCTGGTTCTGCCTGATGAGATAGATACAAGGGGAGAGATGTGAATGAAGAGAGTGTTGTGAGTTAGATCGAATGGATTTATCCCATTTTTCACATGAGTCCAAGTGCCTGTCAATGAGAATACTAACAAGCTGGTTAAGTGGCACGTTACTTACCCTGCTGACGACCTTTAACATCCTGCGTAGTAAGGTATAGTCTTTCTTCAGTAGCCCTGGAAAACCTAGGCGGGTACAATAGAGAATAATAGGCAGAATGCAAGAGTTAACGAATCGTAGGAGTAAGGGTTGGGTTATTCCAGAATGTCTTAACTTCTTGATGTAGAAGGTAAGACGGAATATTTTCTTAGAAATCATCAGGAAATGAGACGACCAGGAAAGATCAATCAGCAGATAGAATGACGCCAAGATATATAATTGATTTCCGACTTGGTTTCTATTTCAGTGCCATCTATGTTGCACACCTCGTGAGTGCTAATCAGTTTGTTTAGGTGAGATTTATGCCTAAAGGTGAAATTGACTGTTTGACATTTAGAGGGATTTAAGATAAGACCGTTTTCCTTGAACCAGTGGCTGATTTCTGTTAAAAAGCCATTTAGTTTGCAGCAGTCACTTTGACATTTGACAGGCAAAGATACAGTCAGATCGTCATCATATTTAACAAAATTAATGTCGTTTGAAGATGGTAAGTAATGTAGGAAGAAAGAAAGGAAGGAGAAGTGGGGACAGTATAGCACCTTGGGCGACACCAGCTTCAGTGAGCACATCAGGGGAGGATTTACCTTTGTATACAGTGTACTGCATTCTGTTTGAGAAGTAGGAATGCAGTCAGTTTGTGACCCAAGACGCAGTTTATGTCATCGAGAGCTTATTTACTTATTTATCTCTCATCTCTTTATCCTCAAGCGATCTCCTACATGTCACCCTCGCACCAACGACCCACTCAACGCTTCCCATTGGGATTCCACTCGAGCTGTGGCCTGCATTGGGAGCGATGTCATTCCATTGCCTTCCTCAACGTTTGCCCGATACATCTCCATCTTCTCCTACATGTTTGTCGAACCGTCGGCTCATGGTTGCTTTGTTGTCGGCCAAAGTTTCTTGTTGCTAGTTCTTTCTGGTCGGCCGGCCGGCTGGCCATTTGATCTTCAGAATGGAGGTGGCGAAGGCAGGTGTTGGTCAAGTTCTGCAGTGACCCATTGGGAATCATTTTCGTGACGCGCACTCCAAGTTTCCGACCCGTATAGAATAACTGACTGACTTCACATTTTTTGTTGAGAATCCGAATTTTGTTCTTTATGCTGACCGAGTGCAGAAGACTTTCAAACAGGTTTCAGGTTGATGAAGGCGTATCTCGCCTTTCCGATTCTAGCTGACTTTTGCATCTTCATCCGTTCCAACTGCCCGTGGTTGAGACTGTGCTTCCCAGCCGGATAAGTGAGGGAAGTAACCTCTGTTGAATCTCTCCCGGCGATTGGTGCTGGTTGCTATTGCCTTCGGTTGGTTATCTTCGTCACCTCCGTCTTCCCTATCTTCACCTGGATTCCTGTCTCGACTGCCAGCTTCTTCAGCCAGTTTGTTGATTTTTGCCTGGAAGTCTTTGAGTTTGTATGACATTAAACACAAATCATTTGCGGAATCCAGATGTTCTAGGGCCTTCTTATCGATTCAACGTATTCCTGTCTTCTCACCCCACAGTTTCACGCATAATCCAGTCCACCACAACTTAGAATATCATGGGTAGTAATAGGCAGCCAGCCTTGCCTTACTCCTCTCCTCACTTCGAACGCCTCTCTGAGTTTTCCGTTGTAGATCACCTGACACGTGGCAGACATTGTCATATAGCCAGCTGTTGAATGAGGTTGATAAAGACTTGAGCACCGCACGGCGTAGTGTTGAAGTAGTTTCCAAATTACTTCTGGGTCAACGCTGTCTGGTGAAGTCCTTTTCGAAGTCGATGAAGTCCACTTTGATTTGAGATTCTTGTCTATGAACCTAGGCGGAAGACCGTTTTCCATTATGGTTCCTCGGAGATTACTCAGCTCTTCATCAATCATTTCCTCTCTGCATATCTTTCGAATCCTCTAGGAAAGAGCGTATATAAGATTCGTCTTTCTGCTTAGGGGTATGAAGCTTTAAAAGTTGATGAATTGTTCAGTCCATGTAGGCTTTTTGTATATGCAGCTTTTCAGAGAGTTGTCGGCGTTTTTCTTGTCAGATGGACATCGAGGAAGTGGAACATTCCGTTGGATTCAGCTTCAAAAGTAAAGTCGATCTTTTAGTGGGCATTGTTGAAGGTTTGAAGTAAGTTTTCAAGGTCCAGGTTTCTCTCGTTTTTCCCTCTTTTTCATGTCTTTGTATGCTTCATGGAGTGTGACAACTTGTGAAGTGCAACACTCTTGTGCAGTGTTCTATGCTGAAAGTCATTCAGTTAATTGATCATTCTTTACCACTATTCTGCCAATTCAAGTAGGTGGGAATGTGATCGCGGGGCATGTTTATTTTGCTATAACTTCTATATATAATATACCGATTCACAAACAGAACCTAGAAAGGAAAAAAACGCACATACACATCCAACTTCTTAGGTTGTATATGTGGCTGACGAGAAACCAACAAAAAAATAGAAATATCTTATTCTGCCCCCAAACCCTGACGTGATAGACGTGATATCCGACTACCAACCAAAGGGCGAGTGTACTGCTCATCAGTTCGCTCCGTCCTCCTTTATGGCTGTGAGACCTGGCCATTGAGAGTGGAAGACATGAAAAGATTAGCTGTCTTTGATCATAGGTGTCTGCGTTCTATTTCCTGTGTGAAGTCGTATAATAAGGTGAGCAATATTGAGGTAGGCATCGGTCAAGTGCTAGGTAAGTGGGAGGGAAAATCAACTAACGAGGCTGTAAAGCTACACTGGCTGAGATGGTTGGGATATATGTTATGCATTCCTAGTCATCGCCTTCCTCTATGGGCAATGTTAGCTGATATAGGGTCAGGCTGGAAAATAGCCAGCGGCGATCAAAGCAAAACATGGCAGCAGTCAATGAAATCTACAACACCTAGTCTAAGCCATGTAGGAAGGTGTAGACTGGCTTTCTGGTTGGGGTCCTCGGGATGGTAAAAACCAATGGTTGGAAACAATTGGTGACATGGCTCAAAATCGTTCTCAATGGCCCTGGAGCAGATGCATCCACTCCTTGTGATTTATGATTTCCAATGAAACGATATTGTTCGTTACTACTATTCCTTTGTCTCACGCCTCTGTTTACTGTCTCTATTATGCATTTCTTCTACTTTCTTCTCTTGCTTTGTGTGCTGCAAGGAGGGAGTGTGGCCACTTGAACTGCTACACATCGGTGATAAGTTCTATGTCGAAAACAGACAGACAGACAAACCCTGATTTACTTGTTCTACTGACAGAGTGAATAGTGGAGAGGATAAGTGTACTAACACTAAATTATACACTAAGAAATTTATATATATAACCAAATATTTTTTTCCTTGCTTATATCATAAGTATGTGTTGTTTAAAATTGTTTAATTTAAAGTCTTTTTTTTGCGCGCTCTCTCTCCGTCTCCATAAATCAATCTATCCAGTTCTGGCGGCAAATTGTCTAAACGTTGTCCAGAATTCTCTCTTATCGGTAATGTTCATAGTCTGCGTAAAGCTGGTTATTTACCAAGTGTTATCATAAACTGGTTAACATCTACTGGAGGTGCAGTTCCCTATAATACTGATAATATAACACATTTTGATGACAGGTGTTCAGATAATCAATACAACTGTGAATTAGTGATATCAGAATTAGCATCTCAAGTAAGTTATAATTTATAAAACATATATATGTACTTGTGAGTATTACTGAGTGAGGGGGTGGTGGGTCGATGAATTAATTTCAAGTTTAACTTCATGACCCGTGAATATTAGCCTGTGACAGAGTGTGGTACACAGCTACATCATGAGCCATCATCGGATCACAGCTTTCTGGTTCTACCAAGCAAGGTGGGCGGTTGTTTGTTTGCTCAATTTAACCTCCCCTTTTTCTTCTCTCCCTCTAATAAGTGAGTAACTATTTCACTATATTTTTTGTATGACACAATCTATTTTTCCTTCTTCTCATTGTTATATAGCGGAGCCTTAGTCATTCGTTAAAGGTTCTTCTCCCCTGGACTGTGAACACTTTTGTTAAAATGATTTAGTAGCAGATTTAGTGTGACCAACGATCACATTTTTTTTATCACTCGTTATCGCTGCAGGTGTGTGTGGGGCTAGTGCAACACACAAGTTGAAATTGTTCAGTAAATCGTGTGAAAACAAAACCTTCAAAATTCATTATTTATGTGTGTCTTAGAATTAATTATGTTAAGGTTATATTGTAACAACAGAGGACAAGGGTCAGGCCACAGATCGTTTATTAAGGAAATCAAAACGTAATTATATATTTTCATGTACATTATTATAGCTTATAGCTTATTCAAGCAAACACAGTCTTCTGACTGGTTGTTTCTCACAGGAAGTTAACCTTGCATCTCTTTGTGACTCTTCCTTGAATATCAGATCATCTAAATGTTAACCGTATCTGCCTACGCAAGGTCTGCTGTGGTTGGTTGTTGAATCAGTCTTTATCCTCATTTTTCTCACGACCGACATTTGGGACATAAACATTGACGTAAATTAATGTCTACCGATTTGTCTAGCAGCCTGCTCTCACCACAATATGTGCTCTTCCGCAGGGCAGACTAAGTGAAGGTGATGAGCTAATTCTCAAAGATATTAGAGTAGCATATCACCGTCGTCTCAGTTACTTAAGAATTAAGTACCATTGGTCAACATGCCTCAGAGATAAATTCACTTCAAAGAAAGAGTCACCATTTCGATCATTTTTTTTTAATATTCAAAATCATCATCATCTACTCTCACGCGGATATTTAAAGTGTTGCCGACTAGCACTGAAATATAGGAGGATTGAAGTTACACTCTTTATTGTATGTAAACATAAATCTGGCACTGGGAGGAACTTCATCTGTAAAACAGGAAAAAGAGCGTACACTGATACACATAAGAAAGAACGCAAAGCCCAGAAACGAGACAAAAAATGTATCAATATCACAACACGAAATACAAATCTAGGCGTGAAAATTCAAAGTACATGTTAAGCCTCTAATCCTTTTATCCAACCAATCTGCATCGTTCGATAATTGGTCCACTGCATTCATATGACCTGTATCTACAATATACGAGAAATACTGTTATTAGATGGAGAAATTCATCATAAGCTGACATCAGTCAGAGGACCTAGGAGTACTCGACAGCTGCTCCATCCTAGTTTGGGACTCTTCACCAGTACGCGCCAACCGCAAGGGTCCGAACTCCGGACCTTCTAGTTACAGGGCGAGCTCGTAGGCCATTAACCCACTGGGACTCGATCCAATGGCCAGTCCATGGATTCTAACTTGTGCCAATTCATACGGTAGCGCTACCACTTCGCAATATCTTATTCGATGAGTTACTACCCCACCTTCAAACTGCTGTATCCTACTGGTGACGGCTTCCCACTAGAACCCCAGGTTAACTGCCTTAAATAGGGCCAGTCGCTAGTGACAGCCCATTTTGAAACCCTCCGACCAATCAACCACAATCCCTACAAAAAAACCAATACCTGAAAATACTGTCATATCACCATTACGAAATGTATGTATTAGTTCCGCGAGTGTTACAACTATCCATCCTCGAACAGAAAAGCACTGTCTCAATGTCTGTACATGGAATTGGATGATCCAGTCCTCTACCTGCTGAAACTTCGTATCCAGCAGCAGACGGTTGGTTCTTAGAGGTTGACAAAGTTGGGTGAAGTGGGGGCTTCAAATACTTATAGTGAACAATCAGTACTTCTTCTGGCCGCGGCAAATACGGTAGAGCAGCTGAAAGAAGGACGTTTGTAAGCAAACCCACTGGGTCCCTACCATGAAAATCAAAACTACTGCACTCTTCTTGCATAGCGTATTAATCGTGTAACTATATACAATTCATTGGTATATATGTACCTCCGTAGACCAAGTTAACATTCCATTTCTGATTGATGGCTTGCAGACTCCTCATGTTCGCCTGCTATTCTGTACACGCGACTGCTATATTCTCCCGAAGTTTCCGTAGGTATTCAATGTAGTCCAAAGTCTCACAGAGGAGAGGTGGAGTCTGAATTTCACATAGAAAGCGTAACTCATCACTGAAAAGGAGATCGACCGGAGAAGAGTCAGCCGATGAAGGCGTAGGTGTCCAATATCCGAGTGGGCTTCGCGATAAAGCTTAGTCTCAGCAATCGGATGATGGGCGACTAACGTCCTCCTTGTAATGTTGTGCCAAGCCGATTCCCCTGTCGATGATATAGAGTGGTGTGTACCTTTAAAATTGCTAACATTTAACAAACAAAAAATATTACTACGAAATATTAGAATCATCAGCTTACCTTTCCTGACACTAACTCGTCTATAAAAAAAAAACTGCATAACAATGGACATATCCATCAACCGACCTGCTGAAGCTTTTTATACTCATTACACCTCCACGTGGACAGATACTTTCCTTTCCAATCAATCCCACATCCAAGCAATACTGAAAAACCTTATCTTCATCAAACTGTAAGCGCAACTACGTTAGAGCAGGCATTTCACTCGAATCAAGCAGAGTAGAGCCTTCAACTCACGTGGATGAGACTCATTGAACCATTCAAGGTCAATGGTGCGGTCACAATCCATTGGCAGTTAGTGGTGCTCAAAGTCTAACTCGGCCGTAATACGTTTTTCGAGGACAAATTCTACCAGTATCTGATTGGTCTTATGATTTCTTTGTTAAATACAATTACGATTGTACAGCTTATGAAAATGAATCGTCGAAAAGAAAATTTCCTTTGCTGTTTAGGTCTTTTCCTTATGATTCAATATGGGAACATTTCGTTCGTAGAAGAAGTAAAGTCTGTCTATTCCATCGTGTGCTGGCCTCCTCCGAAATCGATACCAGAGGTTCGTAGCTCCATGGGACTGTCTCCTTACTACCACCGCTTCGTCAATAATTTTGCAAATCTAACCACTCTCCTTCATCGTTTAACAGGGAAGGGACACAAACTTGCTTGGACTAGTGAGTGCCAAGAGGCGTTTGATAAGTTTAAGACGTGGTTAACTTCCCCTTCATTTTTGGTAATTCCAGACACTCCCAATATAACCAATCCATTCACCAAAGACATTGACTCTAGTCTTCAGGCGATGATAGGAGTTATCCTCTCTCACAGGTGATATTCGATGGGCAACAGAGAGTTATTACATATGCTAGTCGAAAGTTGGATAAGAGAGAGACACGTTACTCAATAACCCATCGCGAGATGTTAGCCCTTGTAGATTTTTTCTCGTTACTATCTATTGGGGCGCGAATTTCAGGTCCGGACGAGCGACGGAGTGTTACAGTCGTTACAGAGTTTCCATGATGCAGAGGGTCAATTTGCTCGAGTGCGCGCAGAGGTTCAACTTCATTTGCAAATACCAAAAAGGAGTATCATACCGCAAGGCCGATGCCTTATCACGTATTCCAGAGACTACCTGGACACTGAACGCACTGACTAATGCCACCGACGAAGTTGATTGGGCTTCCCTTCAAGAAGCTGATCCTGACTTATAGAATATTTATGAACGCCAGGTATGTTATGTGGGAATGACAAACCTTCGAGTCGAGAAATGAAGAATATATCGCCTTATATTCTTGTCGAATGGGGGCATTTACACTTAGTTAATTAATAATATCATTTATTTAGCAGAACCAGACGAAATACCTCGTCTCATAGTACCCCGATCAAAAGTGCAATATATATTGATAACAAATGCATCAAGAGCTTGGACATGTCGGACCACGTAAGACAGAAGCTGAGCTTTGTCAACATTTTTGGTTGCCTTTGTTACACTGTGATGTCGAAGAGACCTGTGCACGTATCAAATCATGGATAATCCCCATCCAGGCATTAATGAAAACAAAACACGTAGATCAGCGAAGAGCCTCTTTTCGGCGAATTCATTTTCTTAACTGTACAATCGCAAATATATATGCATTGTTTTGTATGTATTTGTACAACTGTTTGTGACAACTCATCACCTTTGTTACTACCCTAGCACTTAATTGTCTTGACTTATATTACCAACCTTTACCTGTTTAGTTAAAATAACCTTAAGCAATTATAATTCTTGTATCCACTTAGATCTCTTACATAGTTTCGTATTATCTACTTTGTTTCTATGTGCATCCTGAGTAAAACTCACTATTATTATTACAACTGTTTGTGACAACTCATCACCTTTGTTACTACCCTAGTTTCATTAACACTTAATTTTCTTGACCTGTATTACCAACCTTCACTTGTTTAGTTGAAAGTAACCTTCACCAATTGTAACTTTGTTTGACAAACTTAATTTACACATACATACAAAACAATGCATATATATATTTGCGATTGTACAGCTAAGAAAATGAATTCGCCGAAAAGAGACTCTTCGTTGATCTACGTGTTTTGTTTTCACGTAACAAATCTCCACCCCATACACCATGCACACTGGTGATCTCGGTGTTAACGACTGGACCACACCAGTGTGTCGGAATTCACGTTAGGGGACCGTTACCAGCAACAAAAAATGGTAATTGATATATTCTCGTCGTGGTCGACTATTTCACCAAGTGGTGTGAGGTAGTACCAATCCTGAAGCCACACGCGATTACTGTAACGAAAGCGTTCTCCAACACATGGGTAACACTGTATGAGGCTGCAGTGGCCTTACACT